GACTACTCTCGTGTATTGCTAGCAGCAATACGCCATGTGATATGTGTTACTGGCACCACATACATGATAATATGTAGTCCGTGTCGATTACATGTGCATTTTAATGTTATATGTTAACTTGATATTTTTATGTCTTTGATGAGTGGAATGTGATATAGTTGTTAATCCATCTATGCTATGTACATATACATTTCTTGTTTGTGTTTAGTTATCCGGTGTGTATTCCTACACTGTGAGCCAGAGTGAGATGTTTCTCACTCCCTTTTCTTTTGTATTGTTTTCCTCTAAACGTTATACAGGTGATTATCAGCATGAGGTTGAGGATGTTGGTGATGAAGTTTAGGCTTCTATGTTGGGCTTTGCTCTAATAGGACATGTGACATCGGGGCGTAGATAGGATTAGATTAGGATGTTATTTCTATTAAATTATTAAACCTTAGCCTTATTTCGTTGTAATTTTCGTTGATTATGTTATTTGTTTAAGTTATAGATGTGGTGGTCTCTATCTGAATATATTTGGTATTTTAATAATGAAATATTATGTTATTCATATTTTATTATTTATGTGTTATGGTATGCGGGGTAGAGGGTGTCACATATGCAACTTAAAGCCAAGTTTGATTTCAACATGTAATATGATATATGACCAATAATTAAAATTCACCATTTTTCCATTCTTGCACCAAAACTCATCCAAATCATAAGACATTCAATCTGAATCCATTCAGAAAGACAACATTTGATATAACAATCAATATACAACTTAGCCAATTCATCAAAACATTACTAGTTTTCCTTACCTTTACTCTAAGCTAACCGAAATCAAAGAAGAGAAGAAGGATGAACTCCAAAATTCCACCAGTTCCACAACCACCCAATCTCAGATTCCCAACCTCCGAATGCTTGAAACACTACTTAGGATCAAAGGAACCTCTCACACCTCCGAGAAATCTAGACGAAAGAAGAAGAAGTTTTCAAAATTCCTGACTTTCTCACTTTACTCTTTCACTAATGTCTTTGAGAAGTTGAGTTTATGAGACTCAATTCTCAAAAGAAACCTTAAATACTTTCCCTTCTAAGGGTCAACTAAATCTTTGACTAAAGACCCTCAACACTAACCAAACTACTAAGTTCCTTAACTATTAGAGTCCTCTCAACACATCTAAAGCACCAAAATCATTAAAAAAAAAAAAAGGGTAAAATACAATAATTCAACTTACAGTGTTACAATTTTTATGATAAATAAATATATTTAATAAAAATTATAAAATAGAATAAATTATCTTATTTATTATTTTTAATAATTTTTATATAAAGATATAATTTACCCATTTATATTAATTTATAACCTTTTTATCATGATATTTTATATTTTATGTTTTATATATATTAATTTCAACTTTAAATGTAAAATTGTTATTAAAATTGTTATATTTTATTAAAATTTAAAATTAAATATTATATTTAGACTTTTACATACACTTTAAAAATAAAAATATATCAAATGATGTTTTATTTTAATTTTAATATTATAAAAGTATAATATAGTATTATTTTATGCATTATTAATATCATTATTTTATTAATACAAATTTAATTATAGTTCAATCACAATTAAATCAAATTAATGTTTTGGATCCGATTTTTAAAACATTAACTTTATTGGCATTGGTAACAAACTCAAGGTCAAGCTTTTAGTCATTTTCAATGAACTCAAATTAACATGGAATAGAGGATACCTAGACGTGTTATGTGTCTCATATTCTACTGATGCAATTGTGTTGATTAAGAAACCTTTAGACCCTTGTCACAAATATGATGTCATACTAGCAAAATTCAAGTAGCTAGGTACTACGATTAAATTTCATGGTACACTTAAATCTTTGAACCTTTATTTAATTTTATTATTAGATTATCAATATCGATTTAACTACATTTGAACCACTGTATCAGTATCTCTGTCTATTTTTAAAAATATTAAAACAAATTACAGTAGTCTTTTTCATAGTTTTAACACAGTTGATTGCAAAAAAAAAAAAAAAAAAAAAAAAAAAAAAAAAAAAAAAAAAAACACAAGTTATTATAAACACAGAAAATGACATCAACTTTGTAGAAAATGTCAAAAAAGAGTCGAAGCTGTGACGAAGTTTCTCTTTAAATTAAAAAATACGTAACAAATGTGTAACCAATAGTTGATATTTATTTCTTAACAAATAAGAAATGACCATGTCTCTGTTTCCGCGTGCTACTGCTACCAACCTTCCAGTGGGCCATGTGGCCCAATTTTGGCCCACTAATTTATTTCGCTCCATAAATACATTTTTTGTTAAATAAAATAAAATTCATTAAGCACTACGGCATTAATTCCCAAATTAATAACACAAAAATAAAGGAAATATTAAAACAAAAAAATAATAGACATATGAAAATTTTATAATATATATCTATATATAAAAATATTTAACTGTACTTGCCCCATGCATTAGTTTGTATAGTTCTATTTAAAATTAATACAAAATAATTTTTTTAATCAGAAAGAATCAAATTTAGTACTATATATATATGTATATATATATATAT